ATCCCTCCCCTACGCCGAGGGAATCCCGGAACCCTGAACGACCAGGCGAACTACAACTCCCGGCGTGCCCCGCGGCCGGCGCGCGGCGTGACGCAATCGCCCCGTGCCCGTTATCTCCATGGCGACACTAGCGCATCCCGGCGTCGCTCCCATGGGAACGTCCCGCATGGCGTCCCGGGAACCGCGGAAACTGGGGAGGAAAGATCTAGCGCTCCCCCCGGCTCGCTGTCCCGAATCCCACCCTCTGAGGGAATGCCGGCTCTGCAGTGCCGGAACGGCCTCTGATGATCCCCCGGGAAAGGAAATCCCGGCTCCAGTGTCCCAGGAATTCCAGGTGAGTGACCTGGTTTCAGGGTTGGGTGAAATTAAAGCCGGGAACGTTTCCCAAGCCAGGAACTGCCGCCCCCATCCAAGCTCGCTGTGAAAACCGAAAACTGGATCCCAGTTAACCCCCAGGGGTTTTTCCCTTTTCCAGGCAGGACAACATGGAGCGTTTTTCTCTCTCTGAGCTTGGGCTCCCAACAGAAAACAAAGCTATCCAGGGAATTCTCTGCCCCATGGGTGTGCAGCTGTGCCACCTCCTCCTTGCCCTGGAACGGGAAGATGGGATTTGTACGGCCTTTCCCACTTTGGGGGAAAAGGCAGGAAAATTAGCCAAAGCTACGGAAGAACTCGCTGCTGTGGCAAGGAGGTGAGGTGGATGGAAGTCTCTGGGGTATATCTGGGGAAAAGGTGGCAGGGAGCCTGCATCCTCTGGAGAGGTGGGGTTGGGAGTGGGGAATAGACAAGAGCGCTGAGCCCAGTCCTTCCATTTCAGACTGTCCGAAGATTCCAGCAAGGAAGGGAGAATGGAGATGTGTCCCATGGGTGAATCCCTGCTCCAGGCTGGGAGGGACATGGTGCTGGCAGCATTCCAGCTCCAGGAGCACCCGGACAGCCCTTGGCACCGAGAGCACCTGGCAGCAGCCACCAAGAGGACTCTGATGGAGACAGCAAAGGTGAGGGGGACCCTGGGAAGAGACACGAGCTGGAGGAAAGCTCCAGCAGATCCATGGAGCAAACCACACCTCCTCCCCCCTCCAGGGATGGAACAGAAATGGGAGTTCCTGACCTGAGTGGCTTTTCTGCTTTGTTTCCTGGTTAGATTCTTCAGCTGGAAGAGGCTGCAGGGATGAGGAGGATTACTGGCGCTGCCAGCTGGCTCCTGGAATGCCTGAGTTTGCTTCGGGATGCCCAGGACACTCCAGGGCTGCTGGCTGCATTCCAGGCCTTTTCTGGGGCTGTGCTCCTGCTGAGCCGCCTAACAGCCAAGCGCCTCCAGGAACTCGGAGACTGTCCTGGAGGGAAGAGCTTGGCCCAGACCCTGCAGCTGCTCCACAAATGTGTCTCACTCATCCACACAGCCAAGCAGGACACCCTAACATATTCCAGGGATAGCCAAGTTGACCTCTCCCAAGATTCTGTTTTCCATCTGACGGAGAGGACCATCAGGGAGCTCCTCTCCCTGCTCATGGAGCCACAGGACAGGAGTGGGATCTTCTCCCAGCAGGTGAGCAGGCTCCAGGCTCTTCTCTCCCACCCTGACCCCCTGCGCCTCTCCGAGGGTGGGTTCAGCTCCGACTTGGAAGCGGTCATTCTCCATGGAATGCTGCTGGCAGAGTCATCCAGGCTGGATCTGCAGCTGGAGCTGGTGGAACGTTGCTGGGTCCTGCTACAGCTGCGGAGGAGCATCTGCAGCCACATAAGCCAGAGGGAGGGCCAGGAAGAACACGGACTGGAACGGGAATGTCACCTCTTGAGGGAGGAGCTGGAAAACCTGGACCGGGCAGTGCTCAGGGCCACGCTCTGCCAAATCCTGGATGGATTCTTTGAAGAGAAGGAGCCCCTGAGGCAGCTGGTTGAAGGTGCCCTTAGCTTTGCCCGTTCAGGTTGTTGTCCAGCAGGACCAGGAGGAATTTTAAGGAAGCTCCAGCCCCTCATTGCTGCCTTCTTCGCTCAGGCCCAGCGGATACTACGAGCGGCTGATCTGCTCCTGGCCAGGTGTGCCAAGGCCCAAACTGCCAGGGAAATCCGGGAGGGTGTGGAGCACCTGCGGAGCCTCCTGGCCAGCCTCCCTTCCCTGCTTATGGAAACAAGTGGGAATACCACGGAGCAGCTCCAGGTCCTGTGCTGTGCCTGGGCCAGAGCCACCAACAGCCTCCTGTGCTGCTTTGAGGAGACCATCGGCATGAGGGAATTCCTTGAGTTATCCATCCTGGAGCTGGCCAAGCAAAAGGAATGGTGTGAAGTGGCACTGGAATGCTGGGATCCTGAGGGATTCTCCTGGCACACTGCTCACCTCATGGGCTGGGCGCGCTGGGTGGTCGGAGCCTCCACCCGGCACGTGGACAGGATCACGGATCCCATCTTTAGAAATGGTTTGCTGGTGTGGGTGGAGCAATTGGCCAAATCCATCCTGGAGCTGGGAGCAGTCACGGCCCTCATTCCAGGAAGGTTTTCCTGCCTCCAAAGCCAGGATGCTTTTTCTCAGGCAGCAAGCTCCCTGATGGACTCTGCTCTCTCTGTCCAAGCTGGGCTGGATGGGTCCAACCACCCGGACATCCTCAGCCCGCTCCGAGAGCAAGTGCGGAGCACCAAGGTGAAAAAGGGGCTGGAGTTCAGCCCATCCCACACTGGGACACAAACCAGTATGGATGAGGCAGCATTCCAAGAAGATATCCAAAATCATCCATCTTCACCACCAGCTAACTTCCACCTGGATCCATGGAAAGGGGATACACACCCTGTCATCACAGCTCTCCTGGGAGCATCCCGAGCTGGTGACACAGACACTGTCCGTGCTGCTTGCTCCATCCTGCTGGAGCTCTCCAATGGCTATGTAGAAACTGCACAGGAAGCGCTGCCTGTGGCTGAAGCCCCCCAGCTCCAGGTGCTGGAGCAGCACTGGGATATCAAGGCACTTACCCCAAGGATTGTCAGCCTGGCCATGGAAACAGCCCACGGGCAGCTCCCTGCTCCAGGAAGGCTTCTCCTAATGGCACTCAGGCTCTCAGGACATATCCAGGAGACTCAGGAGTGCCTGGCAGCTGTGGCAGGTTCTTGGAATGGTCTGGCCCAGCAAGTGCTTGGATTTATCCTGTCAGGCGACTTTCCAAGAGGGAAGCAGGCTTTGGACGAGACCCTGCTGGGTTTAGCAAGAGCAGTGCAGGTGGCAGGAGACATCGCAAACACAGTCAGCAGTAGGGAAAATCCCAGTCCTTCTCATGTCCAGGAGAGTTTTCTGCAGCTCCAAGCCAAGTTTTCCTGTGCTCAGCTGAATACCAAAGGATTCCTGGAGAAGGCAGTGTCCTTCAGGGAATCCTGTGGGATGGAAAAGGCCATCCTGGAGCTGCATGGTGTCCGGTGGGCCATTGGCATGTGTGTCCTGCTGGATACCATGGATCAGTTCATGGGCAGGGATGTCCTGTTCCTGAGGGAGCTGAGCAGAGCTGTGAGGAACAAGGTTGGCCCACAGAGCTGCCTGGCTGCCGTGGCTGAGAATTCCCTCAGGTTGCAGGAGGCTGCCCGGCTCTCCTACTTATCCTGCCCTGGAGACCACGGTGCCAGAGAAATCCTGGTGCTCCGGGAAGAGATACAAGTGCTCATGGAAGCACTGCTGGATGTGTCCAACACCCTTCTGCTCTCCCCATTGCCTACTGCCAGCTTGGTCATTCGCTTTGAGCTCCTGCATAGGGACGTGGCCCTCAGGGCCAAGGTGTTGTTGCTCCACATGGAAAGGGTCAACATGGAACAGCTGCAGCTCATCCAAGATGTGGTTGGAGCAGCTCTGTCCAACCTCACCCAAGAGGAAAGGGAGAGGAGCAAAGAAAGTTTTGAGAAGAAAGCAAATCAGCTTATGGCTGATGTCCAGAGGGTCAGAAACACCCTCTGGGGTGCTCTGGAGGCTGGTGCTCAACTTACGTCACAGCCTGACCTGCTATCCATGGCTGACCACCTCCTGCTCCTCACGGCTGACGTGGTGGGAAGCGCCTGGCGGCACTTCCGAAGCCACCAGGACACTGGGGATCCCCACCTGGATGTCATGGTGTGGTACTGGTCAGCCAAGGCACACTACCTTGCCACACAGCTCTGGGTTATCCATGGAATCGACAGGGACATCCTGCAGTGCCTCACAGAATGTCTGCAGCGGGAGCGCTTCCCAGGATCACCCAACAGCACAGCTGGACCCTGCCCAGCCCCAGAGCCCACTGAGGCAGCAGGAATTCATCCATGCAGGAGCAGAGGAGTGAGTGGAGCTGTGTGGGAAATGGGTGAACTGGTACAGGAGCTCTTTTCCCTGGCAGTGTGTTGGTCAGGGCTGTCCTTCATTCCTGGTGCTCCCAGCATGGAACAGGAATGTAAAGGATGCTGGCAGGGCCTCTGGAGGTCAGCAGGCTGACCTGGGCCACTCAGGCAGCTCAGGTTGCTGGCAGCCCTGGATTCCTGGATATCTGATCAGCCAGGCTCTCCCACATCTGTTCCAATCCACCATTTCAGAGGCAGAGGGGCTGCAGCACTCTCCCTCACCTCCACACATTCCCTCTGGGAATACCAGCAACTCCATTCCCATGGATGCCAGGAGCTGGGAAAGGCTTTGGCACAGACCCAGGTCCCTCAGCAAAGTGCTTTAGAGCTCTAATTGTGCTGGAAATTAATTGCAAACTGTCAGCTTGCAGGACACCCCACTCCCATTTGGAGATGGCTCCAAGGACTTTGGATTTAGGGAGAAGGGCTGGTGGGAAGGTGGAGTGGACGCAGAAGGGGGTGGGCAGCTCTCCCACCAATTTTACTCACCCAAATCTCCTTCAGAAACACCCAGGTGGAGGAGACCACTCTGCATCGCTGTGTCCACACATTCCAGGTTTGGAATCTGCTCCATTACTGCCTCAACAGCACCAGGATGGCCCTTCCAACATCTCCCCTGCAAAGCAGGAGAGAGGAAACTCTGACAAGTGGCAAGGTGGCTCCAGCAGTGTGTCCCAAGTGACCCAAGACATGGCCACGAGGATGTTCCACATGGCTCAGTTCCTGCGGAGGAAGGGCCCCATTGCGGTAGGCAGTGTTTCATCCCTCTAGTTTTCCCTTAGGATCATGGAAACTCCATCCTAAATCCCTGTGTCACCCAACTCTTGGGAGAGTGGCACCAACTCTATTTAGGCAAAATACTCCAAATTCCTTCCTTCTGGTTGGATGTGAACTTGGCATCCTGTCCTTTCCTCAGGATTTAGCTGAGCCTCCTGGACCTTCCCTGTCCTGCAGGAAAAGCTTTTTTTCCTTCTCTCCCCAGTCCCATTGATTTTTATCCCATTCCAGAGCAAGGAGCAGTTTGTTGCCTGTGCCAGGCAAATGGTTGCCGATGGGCAAGTGGTTGTTAAGTTTGGGAACATCCTCGCCAAGCACTGCCTGGACCAGAGATGCTCCATGGAGCTGCTCCATAGCACTGAGCACACTCAATCCATCAGCAGCCAGCTCAGCATCGTGGCCAGGTGAGCTGCCAGCAGCTGGGATCACTTCTCCCAGAGTCATCCAAGAGGAATCCCTTCTCCAAGGAATGTGGGTGGTGGTCCCCAGAGGTCCTAGGGGAGGTGTCCAAGAGTTGAGGAACAATTTGGAGGCCTTCCTTCCCTCCATGGGTTTCCCTGCTCCAATGGTGCAGGGGACAAGCTGGGCTTGGAATAACAACACCATCAGGATGTCCACTGTTGTTCCAATAAAATCCTTTGGAATGTCTTTGAAGGGTGAAAGCAGTGACTGGGGAGAGCAAGGCCTCCTTTGAGCTGCTGCTGAGCAATGTGCAGAACCTCATTCAAGCAGTCCAGCATGTCCTGAGGGCGGCCGAGGCGGCGAGTGTCAAAGTGAGTCCATCATGGAATCGATCCCGGAATTATTTAGGTGGGAAGGGTTGCTCCAAGCCCCATCCAACCTGGCTTTCAGCAGTTCCAGCGACAGGGCAGCCACAGCTTCTCTGTACCAGGGCCTCCCAACCTCACAGGAAAGGATTTCTCCCTAACAGTGAAGTCTGATGGCAGCAATTCCATGATATGGGAGTTTCTCATCCAGCTCTTTCTATGGGAACTGGGATCTGGCTGCTGTGGGACTCCAGCTGGAGCAAATATTCCTCCAGGAATACTTTTATTTTGTGCCTGTCTTGTGTCCAAAGCATTGATTGTCCTTGAAGTCACTTTTACCTGGTCCATTCCCCACTTAATTTTTGGATCGTAGAGGACCTTTATTTGGAATTAGACCATGCTATCCTCTTTATTCTCAAAAGCCAAAATTCCCAAGTTTCCCATGCAGTTGCCATCAACAGCCACCTGATCTGACTGTAAAGTCCATGGGAACAGATTTTTCCTGAAAACAACTGCAAAACAAGTGCAAACACCACCAGCCTCTCCCTAAGGCAGCATTTCCACCTGAATCCCATTCTCCTCTATAATCCTACTGCTTTTCCTGGGATCAGCGTATCTTTTAGAATCCCATTTGCTAAACAATCAGTCCTAAAGGTGACAAAGCTCCTCCTGTGCTTAATTAAACTTATCACTTCCTCTATTTGTCCATTTTTCACTTTGAGGATGCTGAATTAATTTTGACTATCTAGATCCCAAAGTCCAAGTCCTTTATGACCTGGAAATTTCCCTTTGGAAAATTCTCTGCTTATCAAACAAACAACCCTCCTTTCCTCTCCCTATAAGAAGCTTTTGAAGCATTCATTTTGAAGCATTAAGACGTAGCAATGTCGTGTGGATCACACACACACATTGGCAAATCTAGACTTTTCCATAATTTAGGATGCACAGGGATATATTAAACCAATTCCTTTGTCCAACAGGGTTTGGGACAACCCCCAGCAGACCCTGAAGAAGAAGAAGTTGCTGCTTTCTGCCAGCAGTGGAGGAAAAACCTGACACAGCACAGAGCCAAGGAGGCTTTAAATTCTGATCGGGATGAATTAGGGCTCCGGAAAACTCGAGGGGCAAAGGCTGAACCCACCCTGATGTCTCTGGGGCAAGAGCAACCTCCTCGGAGTGAGACTATCCCAAAGCATCCCAATCCTAGGAAAGGACATACGGTTATGGAGAGGCATCTGTAAATCCAGAAAGGGGCTCCTTGTCCCAGTGCTGTTGGAAGCAAAGGAGGAATACTTTGCAGTATGAAGGATTCACGCTCGAGTTTTTCATTGTGGCAGGAACAGGCTCCATGGGGAGGCCAGGAATCTTCTGGTGAGTGTTTTACCCCCAGGTGGTGAGATGGGATGGATAAGACTTTGGAGAATTCTTATCCAATGGGAGGTGTTGGAGGTATTCCTGCCCATGGCAGGGCGTGAAATGGGATGAGGTTTAGGTTCCTTCCCACCCAAACTATTCCAGGATTCTGTGATCCAGAGATGCTCAGGCTTTCTGCCGACTTTCAGCCTTTCCTCCTTCACATATCCAGGGATACAGCAGTGGGGGAGCATTTTGTATCACCTGTTGCCCCTGAGCTTGCAGATTTCTTCCCAAAATCCCACTCAGCCCCAGGATTCTCTCCTATCCAGAGTAAACATTCAGTCCCCAAGATCACCCACCTCACAGCTTCCAGAGTATCCTAGACTGGTGACACTGCTTCTCCTGTATCCTGGCTCTCCACATCCATCCTTCTCAGCCTCAGGATCACAAGTTGTCTAACAGTAACACTGCTCCGTGCTGGAATTCTGCAGGAGAGGTGGAGAGCCTCCTCTGTGGAATACACAATCCAACACCACAGCAGATCACAACTGGCTCTATGGTAGCTGCAGCCCATTCCAGCCCACTTTGGTGTCCAACCTGCATCCCAACCATCTTCCCCAGACCAGGAATTCCATTATGTGCGTGGTAGCAAGGAATCTCCTCCATATTCTGAGAAAAAGCAGCAGCAGGCACACTGCAGACTCTGGGAAGCTATCTGCAATGGATAAAGCAGGGGAGGGAAGGAGGGAAGAAGGCAGGAAGTAAGGCAGGAAGGAAATATACATGGAGAGAACAGGCTGTGAGGCCTCACAGGCCTTTGTATCCATGTCCTATTTCCACACTATTATTCCCTGCTGGCTCGGTTTTTTGAGGAAAACCTTGACTAGCCATACCAGTGAGTAGATGAAGAAATAACAGACTAGTAATAAAGGACTAATGGATTACTCCAAGATAACAACCAGTTCCATGTCTATTCTCTACTTTTCCTATGCAAAAAAAAAAAAAAAAAAATCACAAAATTAATGGAATTCATGCTCTGGCAAATCAGGAAGGCAAACTGAAACCGTGATTGCCTTCAGAGATGCCTCCTCTGCCGTGCAGGAGTCACAGACTTCCCTTGGCTCATCCATGCAAGGCAAAACCTCAGAACTTGGGAAAAACACTCTGCTGTCCCAGTGGAAACACCACTTGATCAACAAACAAGAAGAAAAGGTTCATGACCATCACATGGCCAAGGGAAAAAAAAGAAGAAAAGGTCCACCAAGGAAGAAGCTTAAAGCAGAGAAACCTTCCAAAGGGGTGGGAAGCAGATGACTGATTGAGCAGCCAGCACATTTTTATTGGAAAAGCAGCTGGCTAAGAATGATTGCATTTCCTCTGGAGAAAAAGCAGCCCCAAAGGCAGGACAGAAGGTCTGGAGAACAGTTGTGCTTTCCCACGCAAAACCTGGGGAATTCAAGACATGCAGGACGTTCCATGATGAAAAATGGCAACTCTCTCCATTAGACCTTGGGATCAGGCACAAGGTTATGTTAAATCCCAACAAACCATCCCAAAAAGCCCAGCTTTAGTTCCCCTCCTCCCAGCTGCCACCGTATGCACATGGAGTCGTCACCAGGAATTAACTGTACCCTTTTTAATTGTTTTGTTAAAAATGTTGTCGAGACACCATGAATACAAGTACTGCAGTTACAGCCATACAAAAAAAGCAATACAAAGTAAGCAGCTGAATACAAAAATACGTTGAAATACATGAACACCACAATGGAACTTGGAGCACTAAATCCCAATCGTGTAGGCGTGGAAAAAAATTAAATAAAAACCTTTTTTTGTTTTCGTATTAGACAATGTAGTTTTCTCCACTTCGAACAGTTACTTTTGCTAGTTATGTACTTCACAATTTCTTCTATGTACAGCATAGAATAAAATACTTTTAAAAGATAAGACATTTTTCATCCTCAATATGTGATATAGTCTCTTTTACACTAATATTGACTGCAGGAATAAAAACTGTCCATGTCTTACATCAATTCATTGGAAAAGGAGGAGCGACACTTTCCTTTGAATTAATTTCCGTGAGGTTTTCCATCAGTTCAGGGGTTTGGCAGTCCTTGAACAGCATCTCTCCCGGGAATTAATGTACATAATATTGCTTGGATCTATACAAATGTGGCAATCGGATCTAAGTGGTGGTTGGGAAAGAGGCAGCTCACACATATACAGCTCTGGGAATTTTCCATGACTTATTTACAATGAAAGTGCTTTTCTCAGCTCTAACATGATCCGGGGGGATTGGTTTCATTTCTACAGGTCAATTATTAGTCTCCCTGAAATTGGAAAGAAAAAGGATTCTCTAGAAAATACCACAGCTTTGCAAACACTCGAGCGTACTGGAGAACTGCATGTGGTTCGGAGATTAGCAGCTGAAAAGTGGTGGGAATTATAATTTAAAAATAAATAAAGCCAAAAGAGGTAACCCAGGTACAAAACAGCAGAGAACTGCAATACCCACAACGGTAAAAAGACTCCAAAGCCATCTGCTAACAAAATGGGGAAGCAGTTGGATCAAAAGTCTTGAAAACATCTTTTAAGGATTTATCATCCGACTCCCCGTTGGGATCGCTCTCCGGGGCCTGCGTTACCTGTCCGGGCTGCCTCACCTGCCTGGGGTCGCTGTACTGTGGCCGGATTAATCCCGACAGAGCCTGGATTGGGAGATTATGGACGGCAGGGGCAGCGCTGGAGTGTTTAGCCTGAGATTTACTGGTGCTGTTTGCCTTGTCTGAAGCAGCTTCTGCCGATCCTTCTGTGGGCTTTTCCATGTTGGAGGCAGCCTTCTGCTGAGACACATCTTCCGCAAGACTCGGCTCATTTTTACTGGAATTTTTCAAAATACTTTTTTTCTGGTTCTCTCCATTCTCTCCCGAACTGGCTGGAGCCATGTCAGAGGATGAGCTGTGATCCCTGGGATCATACAAACTGATCCCACTCAGGATGGAGCCAGGAGTTCCCAGCCTAACACCACTAGATGATAATTTGGGTGCGTATGGAGGCAGAGCATCAGGGTCAGATTTTGGAGCTGTGGCTTCCGAGGACTGGGATGAGCTGGCAGCAGCTCTGGCAAGCCGGGGGTCAAACTTGGAAGGGTGAGAATCCTTCCCGACTCCATGGTGAGCATCTGCACTTGACAGTCTGTGGAGTCTGGGATCAACGTTCTTTTGCAAGCGAGGATCCCCCAGTTTGCTGGAGCTACTGGCATGGGAATCTGTGGATGGATCCAAGTAGCCACCCCGGCCCACAAGGCTGTTTTTGGCCTTGGCAGCGAGCCGGGGATCAGCTGGCATCGCGTTGGGGTGTGGATCATTCTTCAAATTTCGCAGTTTATTCAGTCTCTGGTCAGCAATGAGTGGAGGGAGAGGTAAATTGATGGAAGAGACGGGGTCAGGTTTAGGCAGAGGGATTGGGAGTAAGTCCTCAGGGGCCCACACAATGTGCTTGGCAAAGTTGGGTTTCATCAAGGTCACATCCATCTTGATGTGGCTGAACTGACGCAGCTGGGAGCGGGGATCCCGTAAGGTGACGCCTGGCAGAGGTTCCAAGGGAATGAGGAAAGCTCGTTCCCTCAGCTCTCTCTCCGAGTCCTCCTCGTCATCATCCAGCCCTTTCTGCTTGACCTTCACTCCAGTGTGGCTGTGGTGCAAATCCATCTTGGCCCCAGCCAGGGAGGGGCCAGGATGGCCACCCTCGCTGACCTTGTGCATCCGTGGATCGCGGGCCAGCCGGGGATCCAGGGACACCGACTCGGAAAGCTTCCTGGGATTAGGCCTTGGAGAGGCCCGGAGTCTTGGGTCAGCAGCCTGAGGCCCCACACCTTTGTCTTTTGCCAGCCTTGGATCTGTAGGCATCCCAAGCATGTGTTGCTCTGTGGAATGTTGTTGCCGATTCCTAAAGTTTTCGCTTTGTTTCTTTAAGGTTTTGAGGATTGATTTAACACTGCTCCCCTCTTCCTCCTCACTACTGGAATACCAGTTGACATTGTCATCTAAAAATCAAAGAAATGCCACAAAATTTAGATTATTCCAGCAAATATTTCTTAGAGAATCCAACACTCCCTAAGGGGAAACTCCTCAGTAAAGTCAAACGGAAAAGATCTAATATTAAATCACTACCAGTGTCATAAAAATCACAACCTCAAATGACCAAAATCCATTTAATCAAAGAAATGCCATAACAAAAAAAAAAAAAAAAAAAAAAAAAAAAAAAAAAAAAAAAAAAAAAAAAAAAAAAAAAAAAAAAAAAAAAAAAAAAAGACGTAGTGGAGAGACAATGCAACACAGCCCAGGAATGTCTCCATATCCATCAATATTAATTTGGGAAAGTAACCTGCTTTCAAACAATCTTTTATCAGTACTAGTAAAATAACTGTATCTAAAATCTCAGTCTTGATAGGGGAAGGAAAAGTAAAATGGCCCCTTGCACTGGTCTTTAATCCAGGTAAATTACAAATTAGCTGCCTTACTTAATCCAAATCCCAAAATTTGCAGGAGAAGTTGAGATTCAGGAAAGGAAGAAATTACAGTATTTTATTTTAAAGGATATCAGAGAAGGAAGAATGCTGCTCTAGAGGAAACGGATCAAGACGTGCAAGAGGATCGAGGATACACTTCCAGTCCTGGCAGCAAGAAACCCCTCTGGTCCAACAAGGGATTTTCCGAAGTAATTATCAACCAAAGAACCTTTTTAAAAGTGCAACTAGATCCACAAATTATTCATTGGACCCAGGATGGACTGAACCTACATTAAGATCCTAGAACAGGCTGGGAAGAAGAGCTGAAAATACTGAGCTGCTGCTGCTGCTTTCAGTAACTATCCCAAATAACTGTGAAAAGTAACATGACGTAAGTCAACGTCAACCGATTTGCTGACCATGGCCATTAAGTATGATGAGAATTCCAACCAAATCCTGCTCACCTTCATCTTTGCTCATGGCCCTCTGGCCCTGGCTGCTGGCAGAGTCTCCATCCCGTTGGTGCTTCTGGCTGAGCCTCACATACAGGGCCTTCTGCATGGCCGGCAGGAAATCAGGCACATTGATGCCCTGGTTGTGGCCCATGTGGCCCCCCATGCAGTCTGACTCACTCCCACCCGGATGTGACTCCGGAGCCATGAGGTGAGCCTGGTGATCTGTAAATTCTCCGTGCCACGCTCCATCTGCAGGACAAAACTCCAGTTAGCAGTTATCCTAGAGAAATGTTGACAGCTACAAACATGGAACAATGAAATGGACTGGGTTGGAAAGGAACTTAAAGGACATCCAGTTCCATGCCATGCCAAGGACACCTTCTCCTATCCC